GCTGCTGCTGCTGCTGCTGTCCGTGTTGTCCGCGTCAGCGTCGTCAGCTGCTGATTTTCCCTCGAGGAGCTGCTTTGGAGCAAGTCCCTGCGCCACCAGGCGGCCGCGGCGGAGCTGGAGCAAGACCATGGTCTTCTCCAGGCCGCCCGCTGTTATGGAGGGGACACCGTGGTACTCGTGAAGGTTCCTCGCTGCAGCCTTGTACAGCAGAGGGTTCGACTCTCCCATCCGCTGGCAGCTGGGCTTTATCGTCATGCACGCTGTCATGTTGATGTCGTTGCTGTTGCTGTTCTTGTTGTTGTCCGTGGCCTTGCTGTGCATGGTGTTGGTGTTGGTGTTGTTGTTGTTCTTCATGCTGTCCATAGTTTGTGTGAGGAGGTAAGGGGGCGAGAGGGCGAGGGTGAGTGCCGGATGCGGCGTAACCTCTTCTAGAAGATGAGAAGATCGCCATTCCGCAGGTTCTTTTGGAGTCTGGGAACCGTTCTTGGTTCTTCGGGAACGAATTTCGAACTTCTTCTTCTCCGCCCGCGGCTGTTCTTGCTCCCGACGCCATGCGTAACCCAACGAATCCATATCAAATCGTTGCTGATTTGTTCACAGCAGTTTAGTCTATAGGACGAAAATACACACAGCAGACAGCAGACAGTGTGGGTGGTCTTCGTGAGATGATGTGTATTGCGTGAAGGAATGCAATTTGAGTCCACTCTGTACCTGGTACAACACATGTACTCTGAAGTGTAAGAAACGCCTGACACACCCGAATCCGAGGACACTTTTCTCGAACGGTCGGTGCGATACCTGTTCTTTTCTTTCCATCATTTTGTTTTCTTTCTCCGAGTGGTATGTACCCGTTTTTTGTTTTGTTTTCCCGCGGCGTCGTATGTGCCGGGTTTTGAGACCACGGGCTCCCTTTTTTTTGTGGACTATAGAGCTACTTAATGTGAGAAACAACAACAACAACAACCCGGTGGGGCGTCCCCTGCGCTCTAGAATTTCCTCGCCCCCCATGCATCCTATACAGCGCTCCATATACATTCAGGATCGATTACACGGAGGGGCCGAACCGGCACCCTCAAGTCTAAACTTCATCGCCACGATCATTTATCGCAATCTACTTGACAGAAGAGCACACGCCAGACCACCGCCCCGTCTCCGATCGAACCGCCACTCGCAACGCGAGACAGAGTGAGTGGTTTACAGTTGATTGCATACTTTGGTTTTGAGAGTTCCAGTGGAGGGACGTGCCACGCTGATGCCTGGTTTCTCGAGAAAAAAGGGAGGGCCCGCACTTTGTTGTGCTGCATGGGTACGATGCGTGGCAAAAATGTTGGGCACGAGGTCCGGTGTGTCCCCGCTCTCCGTTAGGGATGGAATCCATCTCCTCGTGGTGAACGGATTGATGTGCAACTCCTCGACGAGTTTCGTCGGCGTTGCCTGTCTGAAGCTTTCCTTTGTTTTTCTACGGGAAGCCGCAACTGCTCGAGCACGAGCAAAGCAAAAACAAAGTGACTGAAGAATGAAGGCGTCCAGACCGTCACGAACACCCTGAAACAACTGTGGTGCCGACGATGACAAGGCCAAAGATATGAATCCGACGAAAACCTACGTATTTTGTAAAATATCGTAAAAAAAAATATAGATATACAAGGGGGATCAACGCCGGCGACCTGTCGGTCGCCGGCTACCCTTCGCAGTCGAAAAAAAGCGAAAACAAAGCGTCGGGGGCTGCTGTGGCGTTGACTGGGAACGGCCAAGGAGGCACAGTACTACAATATATAGCAAGAGGGATGTGGAAGCCACAGTAACGTATATTTTGCCACACACACACGCACATACAAAAGGTGGAAGATCCAGGGAAGTTACGAAAGTATCCGCACTTCCGTGGATCTTCCCACGGCAGTGACTGCCACTACAGCAGCAAGTGGCGACACTTTGGGGTTGTCTCCCGTTGACCCTGAAAGCGCCACTCACGCGACAGCAACTGTAGGCAAGCCTTGACCGAGTCCGCTCGGTCACCGCTTGACATTTTCCTCGCCACAACTAAGAGAACTCTCGCCCTTGTGAGCGATCACTTGAGTCAGAGTGGTCGTATCCATATTGGCGTCGACGAAGAGCCACCTCCTTGGCACTCCTGTGTTTTTTTTTCGCCTGTAGCCCACGATGAGTGGCGACCAGAAGCAAAGGAAAAAGCCCAAACACGGCGCCGGAGGTGCGAGCTCCAACTCCAACAACCCTGCCAGCACAGCTACCACCCGTAAGGACGGTGATGCTAAGCACACGCAGGAGGAGGGGGGACGCGCGCACGCCCAGTCGGTGCGTGACGGGAAACGCCCCGCGCGCGGGCAGGACCCTCACGGATCGAACCCGAAGCAGAAGTCCGATGGCAACTCGTTCGAACCCCTCCAGAACGAGGACTCCGATTCCGACGAGGATAACAGCGACTCCGACGAAGAAGGCGCAGTCGACAACAACGACAGTGCAGGAGCCGCAGCAGGCAGCCTCGCCGACGACGTCTTGGGGAACCTCAAGGGCCAGACTGGAGGTACGCGTTTCGCAGCTGGAGGCCTGATCGAGCAGCTCCTCGTGAAAGCTATGGAGAAGGCGCTGGAGACAAACAAGGAACCGGAGCCTTGGGTGCTCAAAATGGTCTGCGGTCAGCCTGTCCAGGACCCGCAGGTCGTTCAGGTGAACCCACGTCGCTTACAACCAGACCTAAACGCTGAGGTATCTGTTGTCGGATCCACTCCTGCCCCGCCTACTCCCCAGCAATCGTCACAACCCATCGGAAATACGCTTGCTCCTCAACGATCACCGCAAATCACGCAGCAAGCAAGTTCCCCCGCACAAACACAAAATCACACATCAGCATCACAGGGTGACGACGGCCGCGCCCTCAAAGCCTCGATGTTCCCACCGTCCCTCAAGCTTGAAGGACTGCCTTCTGAAGACGTACCCGAAATCATGGCACAATACCGCACACACATCAGTCTCGCGTTGCCTGAAGGCACTTCAGAAGCAGACCTCGACCGCAGGGCAATAAAAAATTTGCGCCTCATCACGAAAGGTGCCGCAGCTACATCGCTCGACCTCATCCTCAGTAACTCACTAGAATGGCGGCCTGAGCAACAGATTGCAGCCCTCAGAGCGCGCGGTGAAACCATCACCATCTCTCCACCCAAATCCTGGAAAGACTGGGTGACGGCCATGACCACACTCTTCGCCCCGGCGAATCGCATTGCACTTTTGGCCCGTGAAGCCATGACACTGCAAGCCAAGCCAAACGAAACAGTCGATGTTTTTGCCCTCAGAGTGTCGCGAGCCTACTCTAGACTGCTAGCCGAAGCCGAACGCACCGCGCCAGCGAACGTGTCGGCACACGAACACGCTTTCAGCAAAGCCATGATTGCATCGTTCGAAAACGGCCTACCACCCGAAATTCGAGTTGAGATGGTTCGTGAAGACGCATCGCAAACGTTTATGGCTTCCAAAACACGCGCACGTAAACACGAAGCCAACCGCTTGCGGTCACCATCTCAGACCTCCACGTCTGTGTCCGCCATGTACGATGTGCACGACCCGCAGCTCATGACGCAAACGGACAATCACGAATCCCGGCTTCAGGCCCTCGAACGCATGTTAGAGGACCAAACAAGCCGGACCGTGTCCAGCGCGGCAGACAGGGGCCGCAGCACCAGTCGGGCGCGGGCAAAACGGCACGCCCCGTCGGCTGACCGGACAAAGTCTCCCAAGCAGAAAGTGGCCTTCTCGAAGGACACCAAAGCGGATGGGACGGGAGGGGGTGTTATGACCAACAAGGACAACGAGCCCCCCTGCACCTACCCAGGTTGTGCCGGTCAAGACAAGGCAAACACGCACTGCCGTCGAGACTGCCGCACCGAACGTAGGGACAAGAAACGAGGCATCAGAGTTGTCAAAGAAGGATAGGGTTGCCCAACAGGGCACCATCCCTCGGCCCATTTGGGACCGCAATCTAGTAGCTCCACGGCAGTAGCCCAGAGAGTTATGGTAGATGAGAGGGAATCCAGACGCCGTAACAGTCGTGTCTACCCTCTGGCAGGAAAACATGAACGCAAAGCAACCTGTGTCAAAGCAGTCGGAGCACAACCCGAGTCCACTTGTGTACGGTTGAACAACCTACGATCACAACACACTCATGCCCGAAACACTGCTGCAATAAATGCCTTTGCTCGCGTACCAGGTAGCTCTAAGCATACACACGTAGCCAGTCGAGTTGCGTGTTCCGCTGGATTAGCGCCGCAGGCCTATTATGTAGATACCGTAGCGAATCGTCTGAAGTCGAAGCATAGATCAAGCATCTTGCCTTCCGACCTGAATTCAAACGAGTTTTCCGCTTTTTACGCATCAGCACTCGCAGGATACCCCAAATACCCTTCTGTGCTCAACGCAACGTCTAAACGCGTACGCATTCCTGCCAGACTAAACAATCACCCCGTCGATCACATAACGATTGACACAGCGTGTGACATTCCGTGTATTTCCGCAGCATTTATGCGCCGTCACGACACGCTGAAAGACGCGGATATATTACCCGTCCCACCCGGAGTTATTAACCTGCGTAGCGCAGACAACTCTCCCCTCAAAATCAAGGGATACACTCGTTTTAAACTCACACTCGGAGACATTACGCTTCCGGTAGAGGCACTAGTGCTACCTTCGTTGGGACCCGATAACATGTTGCTCGACAACAGCATCATGGGTGCATTCGGTGGTGTGCTGGATTGGCAAGCAGAGGAATTGTCTTTCAAGACGTCTAACCTTAAAGTTAAAGCCACACACCGCAAGTTCCGCTCCCCAACGAAAACCACAGCAGACATGGCTAACTGCTCCGTGGTAGTGCTAGACGGCGAAACAGAACCAGTGCCTGTTTACCTCAGTAAAAGGTGTACCGTCCCTGCACGACACGAGAAAGCTCTAGAAGTGTACACACACACACCACCTAATGCTGAAACGGTAACCGCGCTGATCGAACCGCGCATCATTACGTCGGCAGACATTGCAAAGCCCGACACACCAAAGGCATTCCACAGGGTTGTTGTAGCCCGCACGGTATGTCATTGGTCGAACACAAAAGGTGCCACGGTTCAAGTAGCCAACCCCTCGAACCGAGTAGCATACCTACCACGCAACGCGCTCCTAGGTTACATCTCTCCCGTGAAACCTGTGCTGCCCCAAACTGTCAGCAGTACAAACGCGAATCCCGACGAAACCGCGAAACACCGAGCAGACCTACAACAAGCGCTGACAAAAGCTTTCGCGAATACCACCTTCTCTGCGGATCAACGTGAAGAAATACTACAGCTTTGCACTCGCTATCGCTCTGTTTTCTCACTGAATCCCGACGAGTTAGGTAAATGTACTATTGCAGAAGCAGACTTCCCTCTCGAACCAGGTACACGCCCCGTCAATCGAGCACCTTACCGCGCCAACCCACGCGTGCAAGAGGTCATAGACAAGTGCGTAAACGAGTTAGAAGAGGCCGGGATCGTCGAACAACGTGCGAGCCCGTGGGGTTCAGCAGTCACACTAGTAGCAAAAGCTGACGGAACACCCCGCTTCTGTGTAGATTACCGGACCACGATCAACAAACATCTCATCCGGAAATCATGGCCCATGCCGGAAATGGAGAGCCATATAGACACCGTTGCAGGTGCAAAATACATCACGGTCTGTGACATTCAGTCAGCTTTCCATCAGTTGCCTATCAACGATAGACACGAGCAAGACAAAACAGCCTTCGTAACTCGGAATGGGAAATGGGTTTTCAAACGTCTTCCCTTCGGGATCGCAAACGCACCATTTCTCTTCCAGCGAACCATGGCTCTAGCTTTTGCTCATTTCGGACCAAAGTCAGGACTTCTCGTATACATGGATGACCTAATCTGTTGTTCATCAACGTGGGAAGGACACCTAACTTTGTTGGAGAACACTTTCAAGGCCTTACAAGCAGCAGGGCTCACCTTGAAACCCTCCAAGGTACAATTCGGTCCAAAAGAGGTCAAATACCTAGGACACATCCTATCTTCCGATGGGATCCGCCTAGGAGACGATCGGATCCAAGCCATCCTCGATCTACCAACGCCGACAAATATCAAAGAACTACGGTCAGTGCTGGGCATGGTCAATTACGTACGCAAATTCATCCCTGATCTAGCTACGACCATCGCCCCTATGGTTGATCTAACAAAGAAAGAATCACTCAAGTCAATCGCGAAACTCTGGGGTCCCGAACACGATGCAGCATTCGCTAAAGTGAAGAAACTACTCACGGAAGCACCTGTCCTGCACTTCCCGGATTTTTCCAAAGAGTTTGTGATTCATGTCGACGCGTCTGAAACGGGAGCGGGAGCATTCCTAGCCCAACGTAACGGCGATGATTTAAACATCATCGCATACTTCAGCCAGCGCTTTAACAAGAGCCAACGACACTATTCCGCAACCATGAAAGAATGCTATGCTGTAGTGTTGGCAATCCAACATTGGAGGCCATATCTATGGGGTAGACACTTCACATGCGTCACTGACCACGCGGCGTTACGATACCTCTACACGATGCAAGACACTTCGAATATGCTCACACGCTGGGCAATTGCTCTGCAATCATTCGACTTCAGCGTTCAGCATAAACCGGGGAAACTCAATGTAGTACCCGACACGCTATCGCGTCTGTTCGTTTTCGAGAAAGATCAAGAACGGAACACACCGACGCTAGCACCGATTTGTCGCAACGTACCAGATGACCCGAAACTTCAAACGGCAGTACCCACCAGACCGTACCAACTAGACGCTGATCAACTACACAACGTTCGACCTGTCCACAGCGACCGGGAGTTGTTCACTGTAAGCGCAACCGAGGTGTTTCAATCCGTCAATCACGACAAGCTCCGTGAGAAACAGATGGACGAATACGGAGATTACATCAAATACATCCTCCATGAAAACGCACCTCTACCAGACAGGGAAACAGAAACGACCATGTCATATTATTCCCTACAGGATGGCTTACTGTTTAAGTCGTACTTGCCTGGACATCTCCGCAAACGAAGCACGTTCATCGATCAGATTGTATTACCGCAAGACCTTACAGGCCTAGTAATGCATGCATATCATGATCACGCTTTATCAGGAGGTCATCTAGCTTTTCGACCGACATACGAAAAAATTAGACAGAAATACTGGTGGCCGTCAATGTCCCGCGACGTGCGCAATTGGTGCCTTGAGTGCCAAGCATGCCAACGCCGGAAAACACCCCACCGCCGTCCAAAACTTCCAACAGGCCACGTACCGGTTCAGCAACCCTTTGAACGAATATCGGTTGATTTGGTGGAGTACAAGACACTCTCCAAGTCACACACCGGCGTATACTGCAAGTATGTGCTGTCGATGATGGACCATCTAACACGGTTCGCCGTCCTCACACCGATTCCCAACAAATCTGCTGAAACCGTGGCAAACGTGCTAATCGAGAAGATAATCAGCATCTTTGGGCCGCCCGAAATGCTACACTCTGATCAAGGCACCGAATTTGAGAATAAAATTATTCACCAGTTACAATCAGTCCTTGGATACCAGAAGACCCGAACAACGCCGTATCGGCCGCAGGGTAACTCTGTGTCAGAACGAGTGCATTCTACTATGCATGCAATGCTCTCTATGCACAGTTCCATGGAACGAGACAACTGGGCGGAGCTCTTACCTATGGTACAACTAGCGTACAACACGTCTTTCAACAAAACCATGCACGAGACTCCGTTTTTCTTAATGTTCGGTCGCCAAGCACGCCTGCCGGTAGACGTCATCCTTGGTATCCCACACGTAGGATCCTCAGCGGATACCGAAGTGTTCACCAAGACCACACGTGAAAACCTGCAAACGGCCTACGAACTAGCACGTCAGAACTTGTCTGAGCGAGCTGCCAAACAAGCTGCACACAACGATAAGTTACCGCAGTTTCCGGTGTTCCAACCAGGGCAACAAGTGCTACTGTACAAACCGTACCACGACTCAGACGGACCAAACCCAAAACTGCTCTTACCGTGGCGTGGGCCGTACACTATTTGTTCGCAGCTGTCACCAGTTGTGTATCGAGTAAAACGACCTAACGAAACGCGTGAACTATCCGTTCACCTCGCCCACCTAAAGCAGTACCACGCCAGGCAGGCTCCACCAGCACCACAGTTCGACAGGCTAGCTGAGTATTTCCTAGGAAAACGCATTCCCCTGCCTGCAACGGAAAACACTGTCGATCAACCACGTATCGAGAGATACATCGTTGAGAAAGTGGTTAGCCACAAAAGTGGTCGCGGTCGCAAAAGTCCATACAACTATGCTTACAGGCTGCGACTTAAAGGCTATGGCCCCGAGTCAGATTTGGTATACCGAGCAGAAGTACCGCAATGCCGGGAAATGATCTCTGCATACCGGGTAAAACACGGGCTAGACCCGAAACCTGACGTCCGTCAATCATCCACGCCGCGGAACTTGAAACGCAAACGAGATGAGAATCAATCATCATCCAAACGAATCAAAAACAAGAAACGCGCAAGCGATCAGGACAAGTTGGACACGGCTAAACGCGCCAAACACCTCAAAGTAGTACCCACGCGACCGACTACCAGCAGAGGTCAATCGAAGCGCACAAAGCACGCCAAAACCCAACGCAAAAGCAAACGAGAAAGGAAAGCAAACTCGCGGTATATATCACATATCCGCAAACGGTAAGAGGGATGCATCCGACTTTCGGAGCTACCTCAGCATTTGTATGGGGCAAATGCTGGCGAGGAGGTCAAGCGACTCGCAGTCGAAGGCAGAGGATAGCAACTCACACGCCTCGACGCTGAGTCACAGATAGCGTTGTCGGGGAGACAAGCTGTCTGCTACACCGTTTTGTTTCCTTTCACTCCAAGCGGTCATGCACCTATCAGTCAGTCGTGCCAAGCCGCAGAAGCACGCACTTCACATTCAAGTAACCGATCGGTACACATTTGAATCGCAAGTTATGCTTCCGATATCGATTCGATATCATCCGCTCGTGTTTGGGGAGATACACGAGGACATCCAACGAATGCTTCATTCAGCATTCCCTTGTCGAATATCTTGATTCATCGCATATCCAGGTATTCCGGAACTCTTCCTCAGGTATGGATCTGAAATGTCGATGTTCTTCCATAACGTGCTTACACAAAAGGAAGTATAGAGACATGACAGATTGGCAGGTGTGTGTGGAAGAATATTACTATCAACCTTTCATCCACGAAAACCATCCCCTCATTCACATAGAATGAGCGCCGAAAAATATTATCCATATTTCCGGCGGAAAAAGAGGGGGGCTATGTGGAAGCCACAGTAACGTATATTTTGCCACACACACACGCACATACAAAAGGTGGAAGATCCAGGGAAGTTACGAAGGTATCCGCACTTCCGTGGATCTTCCCACGGCAGTGACTGCCACTACAGCAGCAAGTGGCGACACTTTGGGGTTGTCTCCCGTTGACCCTGAAAGCGCCACTCACGCGACAGCAACTGTAGGCAAGCCTTGACCGAGTCCGCTCGGTCACCGCTTGACATTTTCCTCGCCACAACTAAGAGAACTCTCGCCCTTGTGAGCGATCACTTGAGTCAGAGTGGTCGTATCCATAGGGAAACTAAGAGAGAAACGACGGTGATATTGAAGCATGGGTGGCAGATGGGTGGTCTAGAAAGAAAAGTGATGCAGGACATTTCCGAGATGGCTTGGTTTACCCAGGAAGGTTGCAGGTTGGAGTACAGGACAGAAACACCAACGAAGAAAGGGTCACAGGACGTTGCCGGGGACGACGGCAGAACAATTTCTTTGCCCACTTCGCCTCCCATACAATTCTCGGTAACCTCTCCTATCCCATTCCGCACATGCGATCCTGCCATGTCAGCTTCCTCGCGTCTCTTCCCGACCGTAGGGATGGGATCCCCGATTCTGCCCTGACGGCTGCATATCTTGTGCGCTTGGAGCATCCTAGGATGATTTTCGCTGTACTCATAGTCGTGCATGCCGTAGTCGTTAGACCATTGACCTCGCATCCCTACAAAGCCGGGACGGAGCACGCCGGGTTCTCACCGGACCAGGCTCTGACATCACCAAGCGCGAAGCGCCGTGAGATATTCGGCGAGTCGCATGAAGGGTGAGCTGCATCCTGCTAAGGGTGTTCGGCATCTTGTGCTTACTTCCTTGCGTACGGATGACAGCTGCGTTTGACTTAACCACTCCCGGAGGGAGGGGAAATTCGAAAAATTACCACTAATCGTCCACAAGTTACTATGAGGTTTAGATGGATTGCACACATACCTCGCTCTCACAAGTCCTTCCGCATCGGCTCGTCACGCTCAGCCGTGCAAGAGGAACACACGTACGGTAGCGCCCCATTCCTACAAAAGTACAGTACATTCGGCCAAAGCTCGAAATGAGCGAAGCAGCTCAGCTACCCATCCAACACGACCACCTGCCTTGCAAACTTGCCTTTGCCGCGTCTAGCACTGCACAACAGGGAACGTAGTCTCGCAAACCTACTCGTAGCCTTGGTCTTGTAGGGTTACGTTTGACTTGATCTACCCCTAGCCTTAACCCTAGCCCTAACCTAACGCCAAAGCGCCAACGCCTCGGAGGAATACCCGGGGGTACATGGGTATATGTCCACGCCCCCCCCCCCCCCAATC